TCTCTCTCTCTCTCTCTGTCCTTGTCTCTTTCATCCTCCTGCTCCCTCACTGTCTGGTCAGGCCCACAACCAAAATTAATTGAAAGGCCTTCGGGGGCACAGTGTAGGTTTACTTTGGGAGGGGGAATTAAGCTTTTAGGTTGCATTGGTTCCAAGAATTTTCGGGGCCTTTGGGCCGTGGTTTAGGTTTAGGTTGCTGTATCTAATGCATCGCATGAAATTGGGGCCTTGGGACCTATGTTCGAGGGCATAGATTGAAGAAAAGGTTGCTCTGATTCAGGCGGGCGAGGGCATGCATGGGGTTTATCTTTCATGTGTGGATACACACACATGCACTGTTATTATTATTATTATTACTATTATTATATATATGTATATATATATGTGTGTGTGTGCCTTTATATATAGGGTCTGCATGGGAACCTCTGAGAAGGGAAGGAAAGAGGGTCGGGAAGTATATATATATATATAGATAGATAGATAGATTTATATACAGAGAGAGAGAGAGAGAGAGAGAGAGAGAGAGAAGGATAGGCTTGCCACAGGGCCCAGAGAGGCTTATCGATCTTGCTTCCCAACGACGCAAAACCAGCAGATGTGTTGATGCCATAGTAGTTCGTTCCCCTGGCACTCTGTTCGAAGTACTTCTTGTCAAGCTTTGCACCTCGATGGCCCCGAAGTCTCACTGCCGATGTGCATCTAGCAGAACCCGCGAAGAACTCCACCCACTCGAACACCTGCAATTTGAAACTGTTGTTTCAGTACAGTACGACACTGCTGCCCTGGCAGCTATGGCACCCTAGAGCAATTCAAGCCTCCGCCAGGTTGAACAGCCCCTTCGTCCAGAGGATCATAAGAACCAGGGCAATAAACTCCTGAGCTGCTCGGGATCTAGGACTGTGTGTTCACTCACCTTGCCATGCATGTCCCAAACTGTGCAGCAGGTGCATCCTGATGTGGCAAGTTTCTCTCGGAGCTCTCAAGGCCAGGAGCTTGAATATGAGTTCATCAGCAGCGATCATGGTTCGATACAACTCGATTATAATTGTTTAGCACTTTGACAACTGTGTTACCTAGAGCTGTGGGCCATCAGCTGCATGTCGGTGTCTGCAAGACATGAACACCCGCACGAAGACACAGCCGCACACACACACACACAATGGAGCAGCGAATGCTAAAGCTGAAAGTGAGTGTGAACACATCAATCTGGGCGGGCTGGCACAGCCTCTTGCAGATCCGCTTTCTCACACGGCGAGCGTGCGAGATCTTCAGCCGAGGCATGCCAGGACCTCGGCCGATGTCGGTGAGAACCCTTCACCTACCCAAGCTCCCAAGTACCGACTGCATGTGGTTTGGCGTGCAACGAGCTACAGAGCAAGATGCACACAGCAAGCACCTGCAATTTCTCAATCGCGCGGCAGCACAGCAGAACGAAGGTTAGAGGAGGCTCCCTAGGCTCCCAAGGTTCTGCTTGCCCACACATACACACGGAAGCAAGCTTTCATAAAAGCTTTGTGGCCATCTGGCTTTCATAGGATGCACACCTGCAGGCTTCACTCACGCGGCCCTAAGGAATCCCTATACCGGCTTAAGAAACCTGCTGGCTATATAGAGCCCAAACCCGCAGTCCGGTGTGCACTCCATCGGGAACACTTGAAATGGATTTGTGCTTGCTGCACACCCAAGCTGATGACAGGATCGGGTCCGTGTCTATGACCGGATCCATCAACAGATAGCCCCAAAAGAGCCACATTATCGCAGCTCTGTCAAAATCACAATCACGGCAGGATTGCTGGCCTAAGCATCCAGACTTTCCAAGGTCTGTCTGCCTGAAGACTTCAAAGACTGGACCTTTTCAGAGATGGCAGGGAGCTCGGGATCGGTAATCTTGTGCTCTTCGATGAACCAGCCCTAGGCAGTTCAGGGGAATTAAAAGGGCAGGATCCGACACAAACCCAAACTAAGATGGCATAAAACTCATATAGTACAAGCATCTAATTGGGTTTAATTATAGTAGGGAGCACAAATTTAAGACATTGCCTTCCTACCTGTGGGTGAGACCTGCACATACGATTATGTGTCAAGGCACAAGGCAGATGGCGCAGGCAATTGCTACCAGCAGACCAGCATCGCAGTTGCCGAAGGAAAAGTAACCGACATTCCTCTTGGAAGCAGCTTTCCTAGTGCCGTCGCAATACAGCGACAATCCACACCCATAGCGGCTCCAGTAGATATCCAGTCGGACGTACTCGAAAGGTGGCATGTGGTCCTGAACCTGTTGCTTCAGGGTCTCCCTGTCTGAAAGATCGTCAAAATGCTGGAAGTAGGAGACCATGTAATCCACATCGCCTTGGTCCACCTCACCATCAGGCAAAGCCTTGCGACCCCTCTTGCCTTTGCCCGGCTTGGCACTTGGATCGGCTTTCGGGGCGGCTTTCGCTTTCGCTTTGCCTCTGGGCTTCGGCTTGGCCGATGCATCTTTCGTGGAAGCCGTTGCTGTTGCCTTTGCTTTGGCTTTGGCCTTTGGCTTCGGAGTGATCGCCGAGGCTGCGGACTTGCTCTTCGGGGCGGCTTTCGCTTTGCCCCTCGCCTTAGGCTTGGCCTTTGCTTTGGGGGTGGTCTTTCCTTTTGCTTTGATCCTCGTGGTTGGCTCGGCGTTTGCTGTATCCAGCTCATCATCATCCTCCCCCTCCTCATCCAGGGCCGCCCCGTCGTGAGGTGGTGCATTGTCATCCTTGCATCTGCTTGCTTTGAGGGACTTGAGCTTCTTGAGACCACGGGCCCGCTTTCCCTTGAAAGTCTTCTTTCGCTTCAAGTTTTTTTTCTGCTTCGGTGCCGACTCATCACTCACCACAGCATTCCCCGCACCATCATCTCCATTCTGCTCCGCATCAACATCTTGACCGGTCTGGGACTGAAGACAATCCTCCAACCCCTGGTCAGGCTCCTTGCCCTTGAGCGCCTGCCTGAGGCCCAACTGATCTCGCCGGCCGAACACCTGCCAAGGCTGGGGCGTGGGATCTGCTTTTCGAGGTTGGCATAGGAGAGTTCGCAGCTATGCAGCTTAAACCACCAACCGATTCCGATCACATATCTTGCACTGAAACCACACCGTCCTGATTTCAATTGTATCAAAACCAGGCCGGCCTCTGCTGGCGCTGCCTCCGTCGCCGGTGGCACTAGCTTTGAAGCAGGCTCGGCAGTGGGAACTTTGGCTGCTGATGCTGGGGTTGGGAGTGGAAGCTCGCCGGGATGCTGGTACTTGAAGCGCTTCAGCTCAACGTCATCCGTGCTTGGGACACGGGTGGGAGTTCTAGCTTGCTTCACAAAGTCCGGAGTGGCTGTCATGATGTCGAAGGGTTGGGTGTCGGCTTCATCCATCCCAGTCCTTGTAGGCGTGACCAGCATCTGATCACGAACCACTTGTCCTGCGTAGCAGCATGGATTCCACACAAGCCACAAGCTATAGTTGATTGGTAGCCATGTTCACACAACTCACGAAGGCATGATGTCAGTTGGGATCAGAAAGCTCGTGCTGGCTACGATCTCATGTTTGGGCCTGCTTGCTCTGCCAAGGGAGCCGGTGATGATGCAGCTGCTGCCGAGGACAGTGGGGAGTTAGGATCGAACCGTCTCCTCTTGAGCTGGATCCTTATATTGGGCAAGATCCAGATTGTAAGCAAATCAGACGACCATCTGAAAGTTGCAAAACGAACGATGACTGTATGCACAATGCTCACAAGCAGCTCTAGAAGCTGTCGCTTCATCATCTCCAGCTGAAGCTTTCGAGGGCCTGTGTGAATGGTTAGTGACGACAAATAAGCAAGTTACATGTAACAACTGCATATAGTGCATGCACTTGAACACTCGCTCCCGCCTGCTGTCGGGAGTACCACTGACTTGTCACCAGCCGAAGACATCACTGATGCTGCTGGGGAGCTGATCGGGGAAGGTAGCGATGCTGGTGGGGTTGCGCTAGCCAATATAGGATCATCCCACCCAGGCTGGCTGTCTGACGACACGACACGTGGAGCCGGACTGACAGGAGTAGTTGGCGGGGAAGCTAGCACCACAGCACTTGGCTCCAAGCGCTGAGCAGGATTGCTTGGCGGGGCAGCTACCACAGCACTTGGCATAGAGGGCTGACCAGGATTGCTTGTAGGGGAAGCTACCACAGCACTTGGCATCAAAGGCTGACCAGGATTGCTTGTAGGGGCTACCACAGCACTTGGCATCGAAGGCTGACCAGGATTGCTTGTAGGGGCTACCGCAGCACTCGGCATCACAGGCTGACCAGGATTGCTTGTCGAGGCAGCTACCACAGCACTCGGCATCACAGGCTGACCAGGATTGCTTGTCGGGGGAGCTACCACAGCACTTGGCATCAAAGGCTGACCAGGATTGCTTGTAGGGGCTACCACAGCACTCGGCATCAAAGGCTGACCAGGATTGCTTGTAGGGGCTACCGCAGCACTTGGCATCGAAGGCTGACCAGGATTGCTTGTAGGGGCTACCACAGCACTTGGCATCAATGGCTGACCAGGATTGCTTGAGGCTGGCTGACCAGGATCGCTTGTCGGGGGAGCTACCACAGCACTTGGCATCAAAGGTTGACCAGGATTGCCTGGGGCTACCGCAGCACTCGGCATCGAGTGTCCAGGATTGCTTGTAGGGGCTACCACAGCACTCGGCATCGAGTGACCAGGATTGCTTGTCGGGGCTACCACGGCACTTGGCATCACAGGCTGACCAGGATTGGCTGCAGGGGCTACCACTGGACTTGGCAGCGAAGGCTCATCAGCATCAGGCCTCAAGTCCAAGAGATCTGCCTCAGAAGGCGCATCCCCACTAGCACCGGTGGCCATTGGAGTAGCAGCCTCGCACACGGTAGATTTAATTGACACTGCACACCGCAATCCGCGCTCGCATGTAGCCATGTACTTAAGGTCGAAAACGGGCTTGCACGAACCGGTCCAGCCTCAGCAGCACGATCACGAATCCCTTGGACGTAGTCCTGCCACAGATCGCAAAGCATCAGCAGATGGCGGGATTGAGACTCTCTCTGTTTCTATCTCTCTCTCTCTCTCTCTTTTCTGTCTCTCTTACCCAGTCAATTGAGGTTAGTGTAAAGTTCTAGACAGATCTTCCTTTGGTATGTATGCCTGTACATGTGCATTTCTTGTTTGAGACAGCACCGGCATTTTGCACACAAGGGCCCACTGAATCTTGATCGGAAAATTGCAATTGTGATGTGTCCTCCAGCTCTGGGTTCAGGACCAGGCACATGTCTTGGAAGTCAGGGTCCTCAGCTGCTCATAGAAGCGCTCTCTATATTACATCATGTAGGGCGTATCAAAAAATAGTTTGGTTAAAGACACGAACATGTCGATACGACACAATCCAGTACTGAAGCCAAGAGTCCAAGCTAACCAACTTTTTCTGTGTCTTCCTTTTTATGAACCCGGCCAAATGCCGGATAGCCCAAGCTTCATCATCGATATGCGAGTCCGAAATTTCCCTTGAAGCCATCAGATAAAGCGCTCTCACAGCCCCACGAAGCGGATCGATATCTGGTAACTTCAGAGAACAAGCTGTCATCCTCACCAGAACTGGTGTCATAACATCACAGTTTCTGATCGCAAGCTTGTTGCACGCATCGAGGTTCTGATCGTTAACGGCAGCAACGAAGTTATGTCCAGTGCGAACCCGTTCCCGAATAACTGCTTCAGCCTCCCATTCCGCTGCCAACCCATCGGCATTGAACCTATCCTGCTCTACCATCCTGGCACTTCTACAAGTTCCTAAGTGCCACTAGAAAAGGCTGCAATCACAGAGCACGCCACGTTTAGTCAATCTGACGCAGGACATCGGTGCAACGGGCCGGGCTTCCGACATGACTCCTCGATGTGGCCCTCGAAAAAGAGGTCTCTGCAAGCCAAGATCTGCGGCTGGGTGCCTGTAAAATCGTCTTATCGACTACTTCAAACCCATACATAACTTAGTCATAGAATCTAAAAGTAGGGTTTTCTTGAAAACCCAGGTTTTACTACAAAGAACGCGGTTCTCAGAACATTGTGCTCCAAACCCAGGTTTCTGCATGTCGACCCAACTTTTCTTAGGTTCTAGAGCCTACAGGTAATGAGGAAGGGCTTGAGCCTGCGCAATACTGCCGTTCAGCTGTCGAACTTGGTTTTTGGGCTTGTGAGAGCCGGCGAAGGAACAACAAGTCCATCGATGCCAACTACTACATCGAGCACCAGTTGCAGCTGCCACTACTTCGTATCTTCGGTCCTATCATGGGCCTCCTGGCATTACTCTTATGATGATGATTGCTAGGATGCAATGTCACATGCGATTACCATTATCATTTTCGTTTTTGGTAAGGTTTCCCGGATACTTTTCTTTATATATTATTGATAACTCTAATTGCGTTTTTGGTACTACGATCCACATGATCGGCTCGGGAGGCTGGAGACTTCGAACCTTTGGAGTATCCTGATCGAGGCAGTACGCAGAGATTATGCTTCTGACCATTTCAGGTTCTAGGGTAGAGTTGACTTGAGAAGCACATGCAGAGTGCAGTCCCAAACCCTACAAACCTTGAACTCGCGCCTGCGCGCGCGCGCGAGTGTGCGAGCCCAGGGTTCAACACAATCCTGAAACCTAACTATCCCCAAGCCACACAGCCTCAATCCTGAAACCGAATCTAAATGTAACTAAATAACTAAGCCCAAAACCCCGGACCCTAACGTCGTGAATAACGCAAAAAGCCTGGACCCTGGAGCCGGTAAGCAACAAAAAAAGCCCTCAAGCCCACAAGCCCGGAACCCACACAACCCCAAAAAAGACAAAGTCAGTTGAGGTAACGATGACAAGGCCCAGTCTCTGCTCTTCGGCTCAGAAATTTTCCAAGCGATCTCGCGCACTGGGATTTTCGGATATTCCTGAGAAAATGATGGTCTGATCGTATATGCAAGTGATATCGTCGAGTGCGAGTGCCAAAACAAGTGATGTGAGCCAGTATGCGGAGAAGAAGTTGCAAGCAATGAAGTCATTATAAGTAGTACACATAGATCACCGACACTGGCAGCTCCGATAATATAATTCTTTTTGTTGTTATTCTTACCCATACTCTTTCATTATTATAACAAGGTCTGCGAGGTTCGCTCCACCCAGGGAGCTGGCTGGTAAATCTGAGGCTCTTCAACGGCGACCACACCCGAAAGGTTCACGCGCCCACGCAAGAAGGCAGAGCAGGGGTCTGGGTCTGGATAGTTTTAATTATAATCGTGGTACTCCGGAACAATCCCTATAAGCAATTCACACTAGAATGTATCCCCCGAACCAAAAGTAATAGGATCCCGAGCGCTGCATATATTTCCATCATGGTGTACCCCCGCAAACCCAGTATATAAAGAGTCACATTCCCTCATGGTTTAATATGATATCCCTCTTAAGCCTCATTGTAGCTGTTGACCGAGGCCCTGTACCTGGCATTGCACATGATCTGTGTTTATTTTCGAGTTTCTCCCTAGAGCCAAACGACAAGAAGTCCCGGCAAGCATTTGGATCTCACACTCCGAGTCGCGGTCTGGCCGAACATGTGATGGCACTCTTTCATGGCAGGCGAACACTTTCGATAGGCATTCTGGAGCTGTTCGACACAGTTTTCCTGCACTGAATGTGGCTCTAGGTCAGTGTCGGGCTAGTTATAGATGCCTGAATAGTTCTCAAATTCATTCTTTAGTGTTCCAGATTACAGTTATAGCATAAGACACTCTCAAACCCTATTCTCGGTTTGGGGTGTGGAATGGGATCCTGCGAAAGCCTCAATCCTTCGTCCGCAAGCCGGGACTTCGCGTCAAAGACCGACGTAAGCCCGAAAAGAAGCCTTAAGAACAGCAGCGAGATCTCTTAATTTTTAGGTGCCGGGGAGGGTTCCATCCAGAGTACATGGCTTACGTCGTCTCAGGACTTGGACAAGCCTTGAGGCGGAGGTTTGGGGAGTTTACAGGCCCCTGTTGTTAGGTTGTCAGGTTCAGGGTTTAGGGGAGCGTTTAAGGCAGGGTCCAGCGGCAGATGTCTGTGTTTTATGGCATCTTGCTGACGAGCCATGACGGTCCTGCAGTGAAGAAGGACTTATAGGGCCTATACAAATTTCAAGACAGCCAATGCCTGCGCTGAGCGTACATTCTTCGGTCAACAGCCAGTTCTTCGATTGTGAACTAAAGGCATCTAGGACAAAGCTTGGACTTGGGTTTGGCTGGAAGCATGTGGTTGCACAGAGGATCCTGCTTAAGTTCCGAGAGACTCCGACTAAACCGTACAAAACAACCTACAGTGACCTACAGGCTTAAACCGCCTTAAACCTGCAGGCGGAGCTTTGTCGAAGTTTATCACGAAGAGCCTGCGATGCAAAGGCTGTAAGGCCCGGATCGAGCGAGGTGTTGGAGCCTGGAGTGTTCTGAAGGGGTTCAGGGACTGAGGTTGAAAGCTCAAGGACCTAGGTTCTACTAGGAGGAGAGTTGTGACGGCTTAGTGTCTGTGGTTCAGGAGTCTAGGGCTTGAGGTGAAGAGGGGTTTTAGGAGGGGAGTAGGTTTCGAAGGGTCTGGCACGGGCCCTACAAGTGCACCGTGCCGCAGCACCTTGGGCTTTCGTATGGACTTGCAGCAACCCCTGTAGCACGGCATACTAGGTTCCTGGGAATCCTGGGATGCTCATCCCTCCAGCCCTAAGAGTGCCCATCTCCTCTCCAAAAGTGTGTTTACTGTTTTCATTCCGGTTCCGAGCTCAAAACCCTGCGTTCTAGCCTCAGAACCGGAAAAGAAACAGCAAACACACTGTGTTTTCCAGTCGAGGAGCTGCAGCGCTAGGAGGCCCCGGGGTGTAGGGCTTAGGGCTTAACATATACTAATTATAACACAAAGAATATACTGTAATGTCGTAGTATAGTATTAATAGTTACTAATAGTTATACTGTATAATATTACAGTATATATCCCAGATGCTCTAAGTCCTGGTGTATGCCCTACACTCCTTCCGGACTAAAGGCCGTACGGCCACATCTCAACTTTGAGCCGAGCACTGCTTCACCCCAGCCTCCCAGATCCTAAACCCCGAAAGCCTTTCACGCCCCCCGGACACGATAGACACATACAGACAGCCGAAGCCCTACAGTTACAAGACGAGCCAGGCGGTGATCAAGCAGGGCATGCTTTGCGAGCACTGCGCCAAGGAGAAGGCTGCGGAGGTCCCTGCACACAGTGGCTCAGGGCTTCCTCGCAAAGGAAACGCACAGAAGGTTCTAGGGTTCTAATAAGGATATTGGTATTTTGGTTGTTGCGAGTTCTCGTCATGCATGGTCGGGGTGCTGTGAGCATTCCCAACAGAGTTGTTGCTGTTCTCCGAGGATTGGAAGGTTCCGGCCGGTTGGTTCGTGATAAACTGAAAAGAGAGAGATTTTCGGGATTGTCGCTGGCTTTCTGCTTTCCGTGCGTTGAGGGCTTTTGTCCTGAAGCCCAACGTTCGCCCTACGCATAGGCTTTGGGCGTTTTGGTTTCAAGGGCAAGTGTAAGCTTTCTGGCCCTGTGCGCACAGCCCAGGCAGCGTCCTGACGATGTAGCTCTTTACACTGCAAGTACCATGCTCGGATGGGGAGTGTTGTGAGCCCCACTTCTGCGACCTGGATGATGTGTTGTTTTGGAGCAGTGATCAATTGGGCTCTTCCAGCTCAACACACTCCAAGATGGAGTCTATAGCAAGTTTTCTAAGCAATTTGAGAGAACTTGAAGTCTTGAAGTGTCGAACTGTGCAGTAGTAGATGTCCTAGGCCCCAAAAAGCCGCAAGCTCCCACTGCCCTAAACTCCGTCCCTAAACTCCCCCCATGTCCCCCGCAACTTCCCTCAACCGCCTCGTACCCTACTGTAAAACTGCACGGCGCTCTTCCCATTCCCCCCCAAAGCTCCTGCATAGAGGTGGTTGTGAGTCAGATGAAGGATTTCCAAGAGAAGGCGCCGAAGAACTTAAGCTGCTCCGTAAACGGGAGCTTGGGTTTCGGTTTGGGGTCGGTGGCTTTTGGCTTTGAGGGATTTAGATTTGGGACTGTTGGGTATTGGAAGTGATGTCTTGCAGGCTTTGTCTTCTTTTCTGGGAGCACTTGGGTGTCGGATGTGAGGGGTTTTGGTGTGGGTTTGGGTCGTGACATTGGGGCATAAACTCGCAGAAGCACTTGCAAACGAGTCTAGCCTACCACGTAGCCCTGCCCCGCTCTACGTAACCGCAACTTCGGGGTCTCCGCTTGCCCCTTGAGGCCCCTCCCAAATCCGACGTGAACCCTACATCCTAGACTCTAAACCACAACGCGTCGGCCACCGTGGGGGTCCAGGAAGCTGCAAGCTCTCCCAATCCCCTTTGACCAGGAGCAAGAGTACAATCGCTTGTGGACTCAGTGCCAGCGCTGCCAAGGAGTTTGGGTTTAGGGCTTTGGGGGGGCATCATGATAAAGGCATTACGAGGGGCTATTACTACTACCAACCGAACCCCGTGACCCCCCACACTAAGCCAGAGCAATGCCGTGGATGGCCCAAACCCCTAGACCCCCTAAACCCTTTGGCTCAAGGCTCAAGCCTAAATCCGGACAGTGCAAGCCGAAAGCATGAAGCGCCAAACCCTCTGCCAGAACCCTAAACGTGCAGCTATGTCGGCGCCTCTCTCGGCCGTGGACATGGCCCCGAGGCAACTGAACTTGCAGGAGCCGATGTTCATCTCAACGCCATCTAC